ATTAGGAATGACGTCCGAGAACACTGTGCACCGCATTAAATCCCACTCCCACTGTACGTTTCCCTTTGCTGTTTCTTGAGACGTAGTGGGGTCAGTCAAAGACGGAGCCACAAGGGGGGGGGGAGGAGGAGGGGCGATGGTTCTTTCGCCCTCTCACCCTCAGCAGAGCAGGCACCAGTGCTACAAAAGCCCGGGCACAAAGTTAGAACTAAAATAAAGTAAAGCCTAAAGTAACTCTAAGTAACAGTGTTATAATCCGGCTCCTAGTTTTTGCATAGTTCTAGGATGGGAGGGGATTCTTCTCCTCACCCCCGTCACCCCTCTCCCTCCGCAGGAGCCCCAATCTCCCCCTCACCCGCCATCGCCCTCCTCCCCAGGAACCCATCCTGGGTGCGCCTATGGGTGAGGTTGGTGGTCGCGGCTCCTTCCACGTGTGGTCCTTGCTCCCCTCCCTCTTGCTTGTGCTGCGTTACTCCCTGTCTGTTTTCGTTCCGCTGGCGCTGTGAGCGCCACACGCTGTTTTTGTATGGGTCCATTTTTATGCGTTTTTGAGCAAAACACAACAAAAGCGCACTGTGTTGAGGTCACGTCTGTACGCGTTTGTCGATCTTTGCGTGTTTTTTGTGCGTTTTGTGCCGTGCAACAGCTGCACAAAACAAATATTGTCACGGGATTGTCTCTGCGTGTGTTTGCGTGCCCGCGGCAACTTTCAAGCTTTCCTGGCTTCTGAATTATTAATATACTCGAAGAAAATTTTGGCGGGCCCGTACGTAGATACCACGCTTACCCCGGGGCTAGGTTTGAGCTCATTAATACCTACTTAGAGGGGATAATCCTCTTAAGATTTCAGCATTGTAGCTTCCCAGATTCTCGAGTTATCAACTTACCCGAAAAAAAAAAAGTATCAGTTCTGCTGCACAGCTGAGAGACCAGACATAGTCGGCTAACAAAACAATGTTAGCAGCAACAAAACCACCAAGCACAACAATGCCCTTTACACCAAAGAAATAATTAATGCGCCCTGGATAATCGAAAATGCCACGTCAGGACACTAGCGACCAGCGTATCTAATTTGGTGTAGACAGCACTTCAGTGACAAACGGCAGATTTAAAGCCTCCCCTCTCCCCCCGCCGTCCCTCCTCCCTCCCTCCCACTAACTGTAAGTGCGAAATTTTGTGTATAATTCAATAAAAAAAAGCAAAATTCGGCTAAAAACTTTGTGCCCACTGAATGAGTCTGCTCTTACTGTAGATA